TCACAGAGTTCTACCTGCCTCTGCCTCCCAAGTGCTGGGATTAAATGCCTATGCCACCAAACTCAGCTCAAGGTCATTGTCGCTAATAGTAGTTAATTGAACAGCCTTATCAATATTGAATCCCTGAAGAGAGAACAGCTCTTTTTTGTGGCATATCTGCTGTAAAAACACAACCTGAATCTGGTTGTGTCACATCATAGGAGCCTGGGATATAGCTGACGACTGTACAGAATGTTAACGCGATACTTTGTGCAAGTGTCACATACATAATAAACTAGGAAAGGCTGAAGAACTCTTCTAGACTACATGCATTTTATGTCCTTGTGGGACATTATGAGCAGCTGACCGAATAGGAAAATCTCAACCCCAATTAACAAATAGATGGACCTGTCACCGCATGGTAGGTTCGTACAGTCCCGCAAAACCATCCAGAAGTGATCATGAATGAGAGCTAAGAAGGAAGATTCTCCTATTGTTAACACTTGAGCAATCATTTGTCCGCCACTTCTTTCTGGATGAAGCACCTGCAGTGGACATCTAGATTAATTTATGAGCATGGGTGGCCAGGAAGGCAAAAGATTGGTGGCAGGAGCATCTAGGGAGGAGTTACACGGATGCACTTTTAAGAATAGGGACAGACTATAAGCATACCTGTAAGAAACAGTGACGACATTGGGAGTCAGGAAACCTGGCTGTTTTGCGATCCTTAGGCCACTGAACTGAAGGCATAAAATCGGGATCACCCTCCTGCACGAAATGACTGAAATCTGATTATCAAGGCATGACTGGGTGATTGCTGTACATGGAGTCAAGGAGGACTCTGTGCGATCCCTGAGTTCTCAAAATGCCTCTTAGTATTCCATGGCCATGGTAAAGACCAATTGAAAACCACAGCAGCCAAGACAGCAAAACGATCCTGCTCAGTAAGGAGCTTTGGCCTGACTGAACTTTGTGGTGTTCCTTAGCGAATGGGCAAGCTTTCCTGCAGACCAGTGCTGTTTACAGCCTCTGCCAAGTCTCTTTGCCCTTAGTAGCCTGAAACTTTTAGTGTATCCCATGCTGTCTCCAAATAAGTATTTATCGTAGTCGGGGGGAATTCTAAAGTGTCCAAACCCTGGGTGCTACATCAATGTATCAGATGTATCATCTGGATGTACCCTGATTCTCTATAGTCTGCACCCTGTACATTTAAGAGACCTGTTATTATTCTTCCAGTCTAGAGCTGTAATCTTTCACCCTCTCCCAATGCTAAGTGGCTTCTTTTCTCTATTCAACTTCATTTTCCCTTAGGCTTGACATTTATGTTCTTTTATTCCTTCCTATTTTAGGCAAAAAAACACCCCACTTTATTTGAGTAGTAGTTTTATAGAATATGGATAATTTTGTGTGTGAATAGCTTTTATTATCAATATGTTATTTCAGGTTATGGTTTAGAAACAGCATAATATGTTTGGTTATTCTTTCTGTAACTATAACAGGACAATGATAAAATATGTAATTTTACAGACAAACCCTCTGGAGTGTTTAAAAACAATACACCTATTTATAGAGCAAAGCTTTATAACCAGAGGCTTTGTTGAGATGTGTGCTTTAATCTATACTTTTTCTTCTTCCAGTAATTTTCCAACATCTTGTTTCAAGGCTATGGAAACTGAGGTTTAACAAAGGCAAATAACTCATCTAAAACTATAAACCGGGGTGGGGGACAGATCTGTAAGGTCCCCGCCCCAGTCTTAACTTCTTGTATGATTGATTGATTTAGAAAGATCCGGCTCATCCAGAATCTAAATAAAATATGAAGGTTCATTCTTCAGCTTCTCTTCAAATCTGAAGCAGCTCTAATTTTAGATGCTAACAGCACAGTCTAGAGTGGAAGCCCACAACCCAAGACCTTAGCTAAGTGGTTCCTACACAGTCCTTATTTAGAGTCTGTGCAATTCTCCCAAATAATGGGTTGCTCGCTATGCATAAAGCATGGTCTTGGGAGATAACAATTACGTTTAACAAATTAAACACAAAATTAATATGCTAGCTTATACGAAACAGATCCATGAATATTTATTAATAGGCTGCAGCAACACATCCCACTGAGCCCTAGAATAGTCCATCCTCACAAATGCTGGTTAGCAAATTAGTCAATGAAGATGACATTAGAGGTGCTAAATTTTCACTGTGGTGAATGGCTCAATGTTATTTAAGGAAAATATTCTTTTATTGTTTTCTGTTTCAAAGATATATTTGATATATATTATATCAAATCAAAAATCAATATATATCTGTAATATATATATATATATATATATATAAATTTATATATGTATTTCCTGGCTGATATTACCATATTACCAAATCTTATAGTTTACTTAACACAGCATCATTTTACAAATTATTTCCAAATTGATTTACCAAACTGGACCCCTTGTCCAACCTGCAGGCCTCACTACTGAACTGCTTAAATAGATGTTTCAACAGTCACTGCTGATATTCTGTATCCCAAGGGCAGCTGATCACATCACTCCATCCTGTTGCTCACATTCCCTTTACCAACAAAGTTAACTGCAACCCCATTCTTCCAGCTACTCAAGTCAGAAACTTTGGAGACTGTGCTAGGCATGGCAGTCCATCAGTAAACTTAACCAATCCCCTTTAAAGGAGTAATGAGAATTTGATCACATCTTCAGCTCCTGCAAGGACTGCCCCCTGTCCTCCAGTGACCACATGACCACAGTTTCCACAAGCGTTGTCTGTTTATCTGCTTGTGTGTGAGCATGGGAAGGCAGAAGTCAAGGCTGAGTGTCTTCCTCTATTGTGTGCCTCCTTGTTTTTGAAATGGGACCACTTGATGAATTCTGGCTTCTAGCTGTATCAGCTAGACTAGCGGCTGGCAGTGAGCACCTGGGACCCCCACCCCTGAGCTGGTCTTACAGATTTGCTTCACTATGCCCAGCTTTGTACATGGCTAAACATATACTCAGGCCCTCATAGCAACTCTCCAAGGCCATCCTCCTGGATAGGTATTATACAAGTCCCCTAACTGGTTTCCCCACTTGTGCCCTTGTCCCTGTAATGGTCTATTATCAAAACAGCAGAGCAAGCCAATGGATAGGGAAGTCAGAGAATGCCGGGACTCTACATCAATACCCTCCTGGCCTCCCACCTCTTTGGAAACAAAAGCTGAAGTCTTTGTGGCGATCTAAGACCCTGGAATCTGGCCATCTCTCTTCTGCCTCACCCCATTCTATGCTATAGCCATGCAAGCCTCCTGTATTCCTATACCCAGATTCCCTACCTTCCCTTTCTCTGAGCCAGGGTTTTGGCTCCAGATCTATCTGCCCAGCTCCTCCCTGCAGTTTCTTCTTAATGTCAGCACAGTGAAGTATTTCTGAGAGCCATATCTAAAATTATAATTCCCCCTTTTTTTCTACTTGGTGACTTGGGGGTGTGTAACATGCACACACAATTTCCTCTGCTACCCTCTGCTTCTGTCTCTTCTGTCAATGCTGCTTGACTCATATAGTCACTGACTTAACTAGTTTGCCATTGATTCCTAACTAGAATGTCTACTTCACCACGGTTGAGCTGTCTTTGTGTGAATGAATGGCTGTCTCCCCAGGCCCTAACCCAGCTATGCTTAGATCCCTGGGTGTTGGGGGTGTTCAGCTTCTCCCACTTATTTCAGAACTCCAACCTGGTTCACTGAAGAAAAAAATGTTATGGGCGTTAGTGGTTCCTGGACTCAGTCAATGTGTGTTGGTACAGTACTCGGCAGAGGTCAGTCAGTCCCTTGAGTCTGGCTGGAATGCTGTTGGGGATGTATTCCACGGTGGAATGTCAAGAAATCCAGAAGAAAAAGGGACTCTTAGGAACAGACTACACATAGTGCAATCCACTGGTGTCTACCGTGAACTGCCTGTGATATGTGCTTTTGACACATATCAGGGCCTTTACGTACTTTTATCAGGGTCTGCGTGTACCCTTACTCGGTTTGATCAACGTACCTATTGTTTAATACAGTTGCACTCGGGAGGCTGGGCTCAACAGGATTGAGTCACTGAGTCAAGCCCACTATTGGACTGGTCCAGTTATAGGCAACCGCCCCACCCCCACCCACGCCCCAGCAACCTGGAGCTACCATGGTGTTGGGCTTGCCTAGAACCAATTACCTGGCTCCCCAAAGCCTATGAAACTGCATCTTATAGCAGGTAACCCAGGCTTTTGTGCCCACTACTTTGAAAAGGTGTTTTAAGAAAAATGTCCCCCACCCCCAACACACACACAAGAAATGTCAACTCTACATTATCCAAATAACAATAGTAGGGTTGAGGTCAAAGAATCCCAAGAAGGAGGAATGAAAGCCAAGGACCCTGAAATAACACAAACGCGTATGACTGGCTGTCTCTGTGCTTTTGGGGGGTGCTCTAATTCTAAGAAAATCCATGTCAACGCCCTATTTTTTGATGGCTTCTAGATATGGGGTCAAGAGAGCTGAACAGATCATGATGTGGGAGCCTCTGAAATAGAACTGTACCTTTATAAAAAGTCAGGATGGTGGTGGTAGAGAGTGGGGAAGTTGGGAGACAGCACCCGGGCAGGTCCCAAAGAAAGTGTTTATGGGAAAGGACGACAAGACACCAAATCAGTGCCCAGTTCTTGGACTTCCAGCCTTAGAATAGCCAAAGAAATCTGTGTTTAAAAGCTGGAGTCTCTGGTATTTTTTTTAAAGCAGCTCTGTGTCATTTCTGTATGGCTCTCTTCTAAACCATACTTAGGTGAACACATTTAACATGTCCTGTGCTCAGTGATGAGCAGGCACAGTTGGCCACTGTCCTGTTCCCAGCTGAGATGATAGAGACAGAGAAGTAAACCACCTAAGTCAGGTCGGGGTGAGAAGCTAGGCAGAATTGAAAGCCTGAGCTTTTAACCTACGGTTTACTTAAGAAATCAAAAGACACGAGGCTGTGGGCCTGCTCTGGGGTGCATGGGCTCAGCGGGCAGGTCACCTGGGGTTGTATTGAAATTGTTCAATAGCCCCCTGGAGGGTCTCGAGAATCCTCCGGCATCCTTGGGTCTTTGACGAGTCCTCCCAGTTCTCAGTCTCGGCGTCCGCCATGCCCACCGGCTGTGTGCCAGCTCTCTGAGTTCTGAAAGGTTCAATCCCTAAGCCAGCGTCCGTTGCCATGGCGACTCCCAGGGAAACCTGAGAAGGGTGGGTGGGGATGGGGGCGGGGCGGAACGGAGAGCGGGTGGGGGTGGGGTGGCTGAGGTGCAGGGAGGGCTGCGGAGGTGCCCCTCTGTTCCGCCATGCCACCTGCCCTACCAAACATACACCCTGGGACAAAGCACTTCTTCCCCGGGTGCCCACAACCCAGCCGGCTCCTAAAATGTCTCCAAGGAAAGTTGCACCCCGTAAATAACTCTGCTGTGGCCCACACGCCTCCAGACCCTTTCTGCTTCCTTCACTCCCGAGGCTCTGAGCTCAACCTTCCTTCCTGGCTGGACAACGCCCCTCCCACGTGCCTGTCCCTCTCTTTTGCTTGGCCTGTTACCAAATGTCACCCTCTGGGAAGATGGAAACTAGTAACCCCATCTATTAGCTATGCTCATGACATAAAGAGGCTTGGCTGTCAGCAATCCCACAGGAGAGCAGGTGGCTTGATAAAATACTGCCGCCTTCACCTGATCACATACACTAAGAGCTGCGAGCAAAGACTTCTTTGCAGAGGTTAAACAGGCCTACATCCTTATTTAATAGAAAGGCAGTTCCCACTATACGATGCACAATGGAATTCAACTCACTAGCTACCATTCTTAAGAGAAGCTATTTTTAGTGATGAAACTATCAATCATTCTCAACTGTGGATCACCCAGTGACAACAGCTGACAAGGGACACCTAAGCTCAGGGTGCCATCTCTTTGTTTTATAGCTAAGTGTTCTTATTCTCTTTTCACTATATTGTCTACAGAAGATACTGGATGTTTTTTCCTTCTCTCTCTTCTAATTAGCTTGGTGGTAGGAGTATAAAACAGAAAGAAATTCACTCTAACATCATTGTCTTTAAATGTTTAAAACATGTGGTCTCTCTCTCTCTCTCTCTCCCTCTCTCTGTGTGTGTGTGTGTGTGTGTGGTGTGTGCACACGCCGGAGCCTGCTTACAGTGCCCTGGGAGAAGAGGGCGATGCATCTCCTGGAACTGGAGTTTCAGAAGACTGTGATTTGCCTTTTGGCTACTTGGGACCAAACCCCTGACTCTGCAAGTGCTCTGAACAGCTGAGCCATTTCCCCAGCCCCAGCACTGTTTTACACTTACACACAGAAGTAGTGTGTGGTGGCCCAGACTCATGATCCCCACACTCTGGATACAGGCAGAAGGCAAGAAGATAGAGAGTTCAGGGTCATATCAGACTCCATCCATCTTAGTCCCTATCTCAGAAAATGAGGGAGGTGGGGAAAGAAAGAGACAGAAAGAGGGAGGGAAGAAGAATATAAGATGGTTAACAGAAATTGTAACAACAACAACAACAACAAAATAACATTTAAAGGTTTGTTTTCCTTGGGTACAGGGCTATTTTTGCTCTACCGAGATTGTAATTTTTTTTTTTTTAATTTTCTAACTTCTAGAGCTGGGCATGTAGCTCCATGGTAGAGTGCTTAGCACACACAGGTTCTTGAGTTCAAGTCCTGACACTACATAAACTGGGTGTGTGGTACATGTCCATAATTCCAGCACTCTAGAGCCAAGAGTTCAGAAGTTCAAGGTCATCCTTTCTAACTAGGGGGTTCAAGGTCAATCTTACTTGAGATCCTATGTTTAAAAATATATACAACTTGAAAACAATTCAACATTAACTTAGGAAACTTTTATTATATAAAAGTATTTTAATATAGATATCTACAATACATTATCTTTTTCTTCACCATACACATTTTTTTTAGAAAAATAAAGATTAAATTAGAACAGAGTCAAGATAGTATAATGAGTTGTGATAAGTTCTTGGCTATGTGGCTTAGGTAATTATAAATGATATTTTGAAACTGACGCAAGATCTCACAGTTGAGCTCATGAGTCATTGGTCAGGGCTGTGTGGCATTTGTTGGTCAGGCTGCATAGTTACGCCATCCCCCAGAAACACGGACCAAAACAAAACATCTTTATTGGAACTTTGCAGCCACCTAGCAAGGAGATTCAGTTTTCAGCATGCAGGGCACCAAGAAACAAGTGTGAAACTATGGACAGCATAACATTTCCTGTTGGCCACCTGCATTTAATCTCCGACTGTCCTGGCTTATTCAGCTGCTTACCTCAGATCACAGTCTCACCTCCAGAAAGGAGGCCTGGCACAATCAGGTTTGTCATACTGAAGTTAGTATTCTTTCATCAGATGGGGGATTCATTGGCGGTTTTAGTAGAGAAAGTTCATGGACTCCAGGCTAAATATTAGAAATATAGGCTCTAAACTCACTTTCGAATACTGGGCTCATATATTTAACATTCCCAAGCTTCTGGTATTTTATAAATAAAAGCTGGCTAACAAACCTTTCTCAACAGGCAGTTTGGCTTAATCTGTAAAGTGGGAAGAACTCGCAGCCCACACAGCACACTACAAAACAGACCCCAACCATGCTCTTAAGACAATCTTTCCTCTTCCCAAACCACCCCCGAAGAAGACAACTGCAACATCCAAGGTTTTCAGCTTCCTAAAAGCTAAACATTTCAAAAGCTAGAATGATTCTTCACTTCCTCAGCCAATAGGACAGAGGGCAGAGCTTAAACACACACACACACACACACACACACACACACACACACACGACTGTGGCTTCCTATGAAAATGTCACCTGCCAATTATCAAGAGGGATTGCACCTTAGATTAAGTAGCAGGAGGATTTGATTAAGAGTCAAGTGGTGTCTTTGAACATGGTAATTTACATATCCCAGTTGGACATTATCAGTTCTGTAGCTCTAGTAAAACCCAAGAGGTTTCAGTTTAGGTTTGTAATTTAAATGCTTTTGAAGGAGTCATGCTATGGGAAGTGCTTATTTTTCCTTTATCACCAGCCATAAGATGTGATTATGTGGTACTGGTGCTGTTATGTAAACTTGTTTTATGTAATGCTCTGTCCCTAACTGGAGATCTGAAGTAAAGGGTTGGGAAAGGAAACAGGGAAACCCCAGCAAGCCAGGACAATTTTATGCCCTAAATCCTTTGGAGGTAAAACCAAAGAGACTAGATCATGTCTTAAACTGGGTTGCAGCAAGTTACCATCTCCACTATAAATATCCATTAGTGATTGTTTGGCACCTGGTTGAAATGAAAGTAGCAATGATAGGCAAGGCAGAGAGTTTGGGCAGGTGTGACCTACATTAATATTGGGATGCTGGCTGTCAGATGTCCTTGAGCACTGGGTGGACTATTTCCTGTGTTTAGAGCTAACTTTAAATCAGGGCCCCTGAGAAAGGAACAAGGGCCAAGTGAGAGGAAAATGGTGGGACTCTGAGAAGAAAGGCCCCTTGAGAGGCATGTGAGCTCACTGCCCGAGGATCCTCCATCCTGCCTATGACCTAGGAATACTGTCGTGTGCTGCCATTGCAGTGCAGAGAGAGGTGACTGGGACAAGTTGGAATCTGGATGGAGACAATATAGGGACAATCATTATATTTAATGCCATGGGAGACTTAATCCTTTGTAAGATGTTAAGAAAAAGCTACCAGCTATAATACTACCTTAGCAAAATAAGAATATTAAAGACCCTTACTGGGAACTCTATTTCATCAGACCCAGAGAGCGTCTCTTATCCTGGGAAAAAGGGCAGCCCAGGCTTTTCTATAACTTGAATAAATCATTCCATTTATTCTATAACTTGAATAAATCTTTTCCACTGTCACAAGGAAGCAGGCCAATGACCAGCTCATGTTCACTGGTGTATAAATTTGACAAAGACTTAATCTGGGCAGAAATGTGATTTTGACCAGAGTAAGGGCTGAAGACTCCTGATCTGTGATTTTACTTTCTATGGTTTAAGTTAATCATTCCCTCCAAAGACAGTACCAACCTTACATATAATACAGAGCAGGGTTATTTTGAGCTATTACACTCATAGAACTTGTGTTATAATATACTGTTAAAACTGCTCTGTTTAAGCAGGGTGTGGGTGGTGGTACACTCTTTTTATCCTAGCACTGGGGAGGCAGAGGCAGGAGGGTCTCTGAGTTCAAGGCCAGCCCTGTCTAAATAGTGAGTTCCAGGACAACTAAGGCTACACAGAGAAACCCCATCTTAAAAAAAAAAAAAAAACAAACAAAAAAACCCACAAAGAAAAACAAAGAAAAGGAAAGAAAAAAAACCCGACATATTGTTTTATTAAGTTATTACTGTGTTTCTCTTCTGTCCACCATTTCTATTATTCTATATTTTACCACAAGGCTCATGGCTTGTTGCCTAACATCTTGCTTCTCCAGCAGCTGCTGGTGTCTCCCTCAACTCCACCTTCTTTCTCCCTGCATTCAGTTTGGCTTTCCCACCTAGCTCTATTCTGCCCTGCTCATTGGCCAAAGCAGCTTCTTTATTAACCAATGGATATAAACATATTCACAACATGGAGAGGGGCATCCCTTATCATCACTGTCTCTGGTTCATAAACTACCAGATATATACTATATACTTGAGAGAGAGAGAGAGAGAGAGAGAGAGAGAGAGAGAGAGAGATATTAACTGCAGACAATTTAGATCCCCTATATTAGGCCAAGACTCAGAATCAAGAGGTCCCCTCCAGGTATATCAAGTTAGATTTTATCTGGCAGGCAGCTGGGCTCTCCCATTAACACTGTGAACCTGCAATCAATATAGTCTCTCTTTGTATGTATATACAGATATAGGAATATAGCTCAAACAAGGGCTCACTATATAGCCTTGTTTGTCTGTCTAGACAAGGCTGACCTCAGACTCACAGAGATTCCTGCTTCTGCCTCCTGAATGCTAGGATTAAAGTTGTGTGCCACTATAACCAGAATGGCCTACCTTTAAACTCTTAACACAGAAATGAATTTCTGTGCCAAAACTTGTATTTAGCAATCTTGAGTACTTAGAGGGGGAGTTACATGGTAGCCGCAG